GAATTCTACCAGAAATTCAAAGAAGAGCTAATACCAATACTCTTCAAATCATTCCACAAAATGGAAGCAGAAGGGTCATTGCCAAATTCTTTTTATGAGGCTACAATTACCTTGGTGCCCAAACCACAAAAGACGCAACTAAGATAGAGAACTACAGACCAATCTCCCTCATGAACACTGATACAAAAATACTCAATAAAATACTGACAAATCGTATCCAAGAACACATCAGAAAAATCATACACCATGATCAAGTAGGCTTTATCCCAGGGATGCAGGGATGGTTCAACATATGGAAATCCATCAATGTAATCCAACATATAAACAATCTGAAAAAGAAAAACCTCATGATCATCTCATGAAATGCTGAAAAAGCCTTTGACAAAATTCAACACCCTTTCATGATAAAGGTCTTGGAGAGATCAGGGATAACAGGAACATACCTAAGCATAATAAAGGCAATATACAGCAAACCAATAGCCAACATCAAACTAAATGGAGAGAAACTCAACATGATTCCTCTAAAATCAGGAACAAGACAAGGTTGTCCACTCTCTCCGTATCTCTTCAATATTGTACTTGAAGTTCTTGCTAGAGCAATAGGACAGAAAAAGGAGATCAAGGGTATACATATTGGAAAGGAAGAAGTCATACTTTCACTATTTGCAGATGATATGATAGTTTACCAAATTCATAAAAGAAACTCACAAAGAGGTACAAAGTTTATAAAGGTTGAAAGACATAAAAGCTTAAGTTGTTTATCTAGGAAAATGTTTTAAGGTCTGAAAAGATATTTTTAGGTTGGTAATAGAAGTTATGAAAGAAAGTGATTTAGGAACAAAGTTTTAGACTCACCAAGATAGGACAGACAATAGAGTACTTTCTCCAAAGTTGCCAAAAATAAATGGACTGGACATTGTGAACATAATTAATTCTTAAATGGTAATTGTTCTTATTCTATGTAGTTTATTGATGTTAGAGAAAGAGCCACAGTTTCTAGAGTGAAAAGTCTCAAAGGTTTGGTAATATGATTCAAAGGTTATCAAAAGTCAAAGAACCAATGGTTCAAAATAGAGCATGCAAGATAATTTCTGAGGAGTCCACTGAAACTCCAGTATGCAGGTAACATAAGGCCATAGCATAAATAAGTCACATATAGGGATGCAACAACTAAGCAGACATTTCCCATGCAAGTTTTTAACCACACCACACTGATACCAGGACAATAGGTAATTTTATATTCATGAACTTTCTGTAGTTCTTATGCTTCAGATTCTATTTCTTCTACAACTAAAGAAGAAAGATAGGGATTGAACTCACCCAAATTCAGTCCATTGTTATGGTATTAATATTTTAATATTTATTGTTAACATATTACTGTATATCATAATTTTCCTGCTAGTGCCTCTTAAATATGACAGGTCACACGATGGCAAAGTGCAGCTACGGAGACAGCTTGCCCTTCCCTTAGAACCTCCTACCCCCATCTTTCCTCCCCAGCAGTCACTTCTCGTGATTACTGAATATACCCAGCCTTTTTCTCCTAGATGGTAAAGGTATTTAGTCCTTGTACCAGTTAAGTTTAGCAGACAAAAGGAAAAACAGAAAGGTCTTCCAGAGTTGGAAAAGGTGTAAGAAGAACGAGAACAGTTCTTGTTTATTAATTTCTGCCAAACTATATAATAATAAGCAGGCTGCTAATGCTTTTTGGCTTAAATAAAGCCACCAAGAAACCAAGCTGGGACAGTACTCAGGCCTTACACATGATAGACAGGTACTTCAACACTCAGCTACACCCCAAAATCAGAGTACATCTTAGCATAACACTGTTAGATCATAGCCTGGAGGAATGGGGCAGTTTTGATTTTTGAAAATTTACTGTGTATTCATCATCCCTTTAGGCCTCTCTGTTATGGCTTCAAGAAAAGTCAGTTTGGATCCATGATTACTTTTAGGTGGAAGGAAGCATGCTTGTGTGTGTGTGTGTGTGTGTGTGTGTGTGTGTGTATTTGTATGTGTGGTGTCTGTGTGTGTGTGTGTGGTGAGCATGTATGGTGAGTGTGTGTATGTGTGGTGTGCTGTGAGTGTGTGTATGTATGGTATGTGTGTATGTGGTGTGTGTGTGTGTCTGTGTGTGTGGTGAGCATGTACGGTGAGTGTGTGTATGTATGGTATGTGTGCTGTGTGTGTGTGGTATGTGTGTGTGTGGTGTGTGTGTGTGTGTGTGTGTGTGTGTGTGTGTGTGTGTGTGTGTGTTGGGTGGGAGGTGGAGTGGAAGCCACCAGTTAACTGTGAGTTTTGGGAATATATCTACCTACTGTGAGGACATCTTCACACCTTGTTGCTTTTTTATTTTAATCAAGGATGGCTGGCCCTCGAAGGTCCCACTCTCCCCACACTGTTTCCCAACTTGGACTTACTGTTGTTAGCGTCTTTGTCATTCAACAGGAGTTCTCTGAAGCAGACACAGGGGCCTTCAAGTGACATTCAGGAGATCCCAGAGCAGATATAACCTGTCAGAAGCACAGTTCATACTTTAGTTTGCTTGTCACACGCTAATACAACATGAGAGGTTAAAAACTGTCAAGAAGTTGAGGTTGAGGTGCCCCACACGTCATCTCTACACACTTTCCCTGCACAATCTGGGCCATTTTCATCATGCCCTTTTACCCAGTAAGTCTGCAAGTGAACTCACCACCCCCCAAGAAACACTTTTATTCTTTTAAATTTGCTTATTTTGTTTTTGTGGTGAAACTCTATCCAGCTCAGTTTTCCAGATTTCATATCATATATTTACTTAAGTATTTATTTATTTATTTATTTATTTTTATTAGTTCAAGTTGGGAACAAGCTTGTTTCACAAGTAAATCCCTTCTCTTACCTTACCTCCCTCCCCTCACCTCCGTCCCTCCTCCCCCACCTCCCACATACCCCCACCCCATCCACCCTCCACTCCCCAGGCAGGGTAGGGCCCTCAATGGGGGCTCTGCAAAGTCCACCAAATCTTCCTGGGCTGGGCCTGGGCCCTTCCCCATGTGTCCAGGGACAGAGAGCATCCCTTCATGTGTGATGGGCTCTCAAAGTCCCTTCTAAACACCAGGGAAAAATACTAATCCACTACCAGAGGCTCCCTGGAGTGCAGAGGCCTCCTCATTGACATCCATGTTCAGGGGGCTGGATCAGTCCTACTTAAGTATTTAATGATCATATATATTTAGTTCATCATGTGTCACAGTACTGGGCACTCTGGGACGGAGTTAGTGGATGTCATCTACTCTTCAGGAATTTTATTTTATTTTATATTTTTTGTTTTTTCAAGACAGGGTTTCTCTGTGTAGCTTTGGAGCCTATCTTGGCACTCTCCCTGGAAACCAGGCTGGCCTCGAACTCACAGAGATCCACCTGCCTCTGCCTCCCGAGTGCTGGGATTAAAGGTGTATGCCACCAATGCCGGCTTCCTCGGGATTTTAAATTCAGTGTGTTGTTGTTTGTGTCCTTCCTTCTGTCCCACCTTATAGGCGCACATATACCCTCAGCTTCTCTGTAGCCATCCCCACGCAGTCGCTCTGGCGGGGAGCCGCGTCCTCACGCCAGGCCCACAGTGCTCAGTACCTTCCAAAGGCTGAAGTTCAGAGTCTCTGTAGTTCAGCCATCACCGTCTACCCTGCACTACGACTTCACAATCCTTGTCCTGAGTCAAGATCCATTAGTAATTTGGGGAAGGTCAATTTATTTCTGTCATAGATGCTTAGGAACCTGCCTATGGAACATTCCCATGGATCTTTGATGTGCAGCCAGGCTGCAAAAATCACTTCCCTCTCCACGCTTTTTCCTGGAGGTATGGATCCGTGACGCACTTCTGAGATGCTGCCTCCACTTAGCTTGCTAGCATCTCTCCCTGTAGGGAGTCTTAAAGACTTGATGTGATTCCAGAGGTCTAATGACGTGCCTCACTCCCCTTTGTCTCTCCCAAGGATCAAGATCTGCTTACTGAACGAACTGCCCACCTTTAGCACCTACTTTTCCCCAATCCTTAGTCTGAGGGCTTCAAGCAGCCTGTTCTAATGCAAACAATGGATGAAGAGGACCACGGAAGTCTACAGTGGTCTCTTTTGTTATTTTATTCATGGTCATACTTATCTTTGTATATTATTTGTAAATGATTCTCTGCACAGTCACTGAGGCTAGAGAGTATACTGAGTTTGCTTTCTTTCCCAGCATAGTAGTCTATGCTGTTTGTGTAACAGATCCTCCCAGCACAGCAGACCTATGTGTTGTGCATAGTGGATCCTCAACATGCTCTTGCTGGATATTCTGCCTTCCTGCATCTACAAAGTCAGGAATGGTGGACGGATCTCATATTGCAATCCTCCTCCTCCCCCTCCTCCTCTTCTTCTTCCTTTTCTTCCCCAGACATGACAGTATTTCTAAACGTAAGGATTCATGTGGCTCAGTTGAATCCAATGAGATGATGTACACTCACCTTCTCACTTTACAAATCATCTGTCTAGACACTAAATTCCATCAGCCACCTCACTGTTTCTTTGTTGTTATGTGATATTACACATTATAACTCTGGAAGGAACCATTCCTAATTGTCATTTTTATAGAGGAGGAGACTGACACACACACAAAAACTAATTAATTTGTTTCTAATTCAGAGATAATGTCAGAGCTAGCAACTAGCCCAGTAGCTGGACCCAGGATTTGCATAAATATTTATTTGTTTGTTTATTTATTTAGTGTGTGCATCCATATGTGTGTGTGCATGCAGGAGTGTGCAGCAGGGCACATGTGCAGAGGTCAGAAGACAGCTTTTGGAGTTGATTCTCTATTTCCAACATGGGGTTCCAGATACTAAACTGAGGTAATCAAATTTGATAGCAACTGCCCTTGCTGCTGGCTCCATCTCACCAGCTTAACTCCCTCTTGTATATAGACTGTCTCCTGAAAGGGTTTGCTGAGTCTCTCTCCAGATTTTTTTCTTGAAATCAGAATTGTCCTGGAAATACCTCTTGAACAGACGTACACTATATTAATAATATTGGAGCATTTTTACAGTGAAGAAGGCGCATCTGCCAATGCCATTTAGTTCATTAGCCAAGAGAGAGGCCATTTTAGGGTATAATTAGTTCTACTTCACAGAATAAGAAACAACAACCACCACCTAACCACATTGAGCAACTGAAGGGGCTTCTCCAAGAAACACGGTTAATAAGGAGCACAAGTAGAGACAGTTGCCACAGAAGGGGGTTGCTGGGACTCTGACTAGTGTTGTAGCAGAGTTGGCAGAGTTTGGGCTGTGAGCGTCAATCAGAGTTTCCTGCTCTCAACTTGAAAGGCCTGGGCTTGGGAACAGCTCTTATTCTTCTACACAGACCTCTTTTCTCACCACTATTTCCCCTTCAGAGTCAGAGCCGCGTTTTCTACAATAACTGTATCACAACAGAACTTCACCGAAAAGCCTGCAGTGACATCTGGTGACCATAGATGGATAAAAGTTCTAACCCGACACTCTAGGTGCTTTCAAATATGAGTTACAGTACACAAGGGGGGAGGATCAGAACAAAAGGGCGTCTCCAGGGCACGACAACATTGCTCAAGACCAAGCCAGTCATTGCTCCAGCACGAAGTGGGAACAGGTTCTTGAGCCTCCCAACCTTGTAACTGAGGTGCTGTGGACAATGAATGGTTTCTAGGATGAGAGAGAGTCAGTTTTCCTTAAGGGTGGGGTCCCTGGTAGGTTTAACCATGCTTCTGTGTGGTTGGCATGACACCCCAAGAGTATTGGGCAGTACAAAGTGAGTTATTCAATAGTTTTTTGATTTTTTTTTTTTTTTTTGGCATGAAGGGCTAAGGAAGTAGGAATGGATCTAGATGACCTAGATGGAATTAGGGATTGAATGTGGTACATGGTAACTGACTCTGCCTACATTTCCCAGAATTCTCCTCATCCCCTAGTCCTGCCTATCTCCCTGCCTCTATTGGCCACAGTGTTTTATTCATCAACCAATAAGACAAACATATATACAGAAGGACATCTCTGGTCAGTGGTCAAATGGAGACTGTAACAGGATGAAGACAGAGTAACCTTTAAAGGAATCTGTGGGCTCCAGCGTTCACACTGCTTTATTGATTTCTTTTAAAAACTATTTTATTTTTAACCTAGCATGCATGCACACATGAGAGGCACACGAGTATCTGTGCAGGCCAAAAGGTGTTAATCTCTTGGAGAAAGACTTATCGGTGGTTTTGTACTGCCTCACTGGTGCTGGGAACCGAACCCAGGTCCTACTCAAAAGCAATACATGGTCCTAACTGCTGAGCCATCACTAAAGCCCTGTTTCTTACTTTTCAAACCCCCCTTTCTTTACAATGAAGTATGAGAATAAAAATGTTTTCTCAAAATAAAAACTGTTTATAGATTGCTTTGCTACTGATCCAGTATGTGGTAACTTGTCTTAAAGATCTGAGTGAAGTCAGCCCTGTGTCTGTGGGTCCCACGTCTACAGATGCAGTCAATTCTGGAGGATCCAGAATCAAAGATGATCTGAGGATGCTCAGAGTTCCCTTATTCTTGTCTTTAATATAGAAACAACACTGAATTGCAGCCATGTGCAGTCTTGATGTTACATTAGACATCACAGGCCATTTAAGAGATGATAGGAAGAATATAGGAGAATGTATGCAAGTTAGATGCACACACTCCATCATAAAACAAGGGAGGGAATGGTCTCCGTCATTTCTCCATTAGCACTCTCTCCTTCCTGTTCCCACCAGCTGGTGTCACAGTCATTTGGTTCCTAGGTGAGAACCTGCTGCTGCTGTGTATGTTTACCTCAGGGGGTCCTGCAAGGTAAGGGTTCCTACCTACACATGTCCTGATGTACAGAAGGAATGCTTACAGGGCTATTGTATTAATTACTCAGAGTCAACACGCATACAACAGCTCACGTCAAATAAGTCAGCCATTTCCTCACACTGTTGTAAGTCTGCTTTATGTTTTGTGGGTTACAGTAACTTTTTTTTTTTTCTGCTGTTGCTTCTGTTCTTGGAAAGCTAAGGATTCAAATTTGGAAGGTATGATTTCACTTACTCACTAGTCACATAAAGTGTTTTCCAAAAAAATGAAAATCAGTCACAAACAAGTCCTATGGAATGGTTTCCTCTCACCAGACCTTAACCCATTAGGGGTTGCTATAGGAACAGCATGATTGCCATGTCCAACTCTTGTGTAAAACACACAACAACTTGTCATCTACAAAAATCACACATCATTTTCATTTTTCAATTAAGTTTAAACAAAAGTACCTATCTTCACAGAGTCCTAACTTAGTTTCTGTTGCTGTGATAAAATATGTGGCAAAAAAAACCTTAGGGGAGAAAGGGTTTGTTCAGTTTCCAGTTGCAGTTTGTAGCCATCATTGAGAAGAGGTCAAAGCAGAAACTCAAGCAGCTTGTCACATCACACCCGCGCCAAGAGCAGAGAGAAATAATGCATGCTGCTCAAATC